GAGGGAGGGAGGGAGGGAGGGAGGGAGGGAGGGAGGGAGGGAGGGAGAGAGGGAGAGGGAGAGGGAGAGGGAGAGAGGGAGAGAGAGAGAGAGAGAGAGAGAACACTTTTTTCTAAATGATATATATACAAATAAATAATTATTATCAACCGAGTCAAGTCTGCCCTCTAAGAGACTCTTGTCAGTTTTGGTCATTACAAATGGTCATACTGTAGGCATCTAATAAACAGAAGTGATGAAATCAAATATTCCACAGTGGCCCCAGCAAAGAATTGGATGCTCTATAATGTCAATAATACTTAAATTTGGAAACCCTGAAATCTGAGATAAGTGATAGAGAGCCAGGCATCAGACACAGATGAGTAGTGAGCAGGAGAGCACATACAACTAAACTTGAAAATTATTTCCTCTGATCACATGCTCAGTATGTCTTAGGAAAATGATGCTAAAATAGAGGCAAAGTTTTTTCTCATTCTTAGCTGGATGGTCTTAGGCAAGATTCTTTTCTTGGATTTGTTACCTAAACTGTTGAAGATACAGGTTAACTAGATAGCCTCCCAGGGTCCTTCTAAGCTGTGAAATTTGCTCTTATTTTTAAAAAGCATCCAGAATATTCCTGATCAGCATCTGGGAATGGCTGACAACTGGGCTTCTAAAGTTAAAGAGAAATACTCTTGATGATTTCATAAATGTCAGAGCCTGGCTCCAGGCCAGAAATGGGGGAGGCCGTAAATCTATAGCATGTTATAGTATTTCAGGGTGATGTCAGGCTCGAACTATTTTGTCTTTTAAGAGAAGCAATGAAACAGGACTCAGGGGCAAGTGTTGTCATTCTATAGGAAAGGGTCAATTGGTGTAGAATGAACATAGACAAGCTGGATATTTAGTTTGCTGTCCTATCACCGTTCCTAGGCAGGCCCTGCCTCTGTTAACTACAAGGCTTCATAAAAAGACCATGGATCATTAGCACTGTTGTAGATGCTTAGTTTAGAGCCTCCTAGAGAAACAAAGTCTGTTTCTCAGGAGAAACAAGGGCAGTGTGAGGCAGGAGGATGACTAGCAATGTCATGCTGCCTCCACTGGCCAGCAAGCTGCCAGCTCCCCATCCTAAATGCAGTTGATTATAAGCAACTCCTGTGCAGTAGGCTCAATCAAACTCAATTTATTAGAACCATATTTTTTTAGCCCTCCTTCCCTGCTATTGCACCATTAGCCCTGGAAAACCCCTTGGGTGGGAAAGGGATTACATTTCAGATTATAACTGACAGAAAATAATGGAGAAAGATTTTCTGTCTTAATTTCTATTCTTCCTGCCTCTGCCCTCCTTTGTCATCACACACACACACACACACACACACACACACACACACACACACACACCTTTATCTTGGTGTAAGAAGTCTCCAAGCAATTAAGAGTTTGTAGACACCATGTGCCTGAGGACAGACCAAGCAATTCCGTCCAAATCTTGTCTCACGTTTGCTCTGAGCTCCCCAGTTCAATTCTACAATACATTACTTTCTGGTCCTTCCTCCATGAGACACTTAACGTCTTCACTTCCAAAACTCTCATACCTAAGTTTTAACCTTCTCTTAAACACTTCCAGGGTTTAAGGTTTAAATATTTTTCTAGCAATCTGTATCCCAGTGTCTAAGATGCCCATGGAATAAGTACTATTCATACTTCCACTGAAGTTGGTTTTAGTTCTACAAACTAGGGGATATTCTCTCTCTGAGGACATAGTCATTTATTTCTCAATACCAAGCAGGCAGATGAGTCATCCAGGTCTTTTTTTAAAATACAAATCCTGATGCTACAGGGCAGAGTTAGGGCCTGAACCTCATTTCTGCTAGGTTTATAAGTATTTTCTATACATTTTATTTTCATGTAGGTAGACAATAAGTAGCTATTTCATATCTGCCAGGGGTTACTCAATCTCCTTGGAAGTAATTAGTTACATCTCACAACCCTTTTAAAGATGTGTTATCATTCATCAAATATTCAAAACATACTTAATCAGTACTTCAATTACATTCTGTTGATGTAATAAGTCATTCAGGCCAAAAGCAACTTAGGAATAAACGGGTTTATTTGCTTTATACTTCCAGGTCACAATCCATCTTTGAAGGAAATCAGGGCTTGAACTTGAGGCAAGAACCTGAAGGCAGGAAGCATGGGGTACTGCTGCTTGCTGGCTTACTCTTTAACTTGTTCTCTTACTAGTTCATGCTTAACTTCTGTATAACCCGTGCCAACCTGCCAGAGGGATGGTGCCACCCACAGTGGGTTGGGCCCTCCTACGTAAACTAATAAGACAAACCCTCAGAGACAGGCCCATAGACCAATCTCATCCAGAAAATGCCTCAGTAAAGGCTTCTCCTTTCAGATGACACTGGATGTTGTCATGTTGACAATCAAGTCTAACCAAGACAATCAGACACTATATTCTAGTCTCAACCCAAGAATATTGATTTCAGATTCTACCATGACACTTCTCTTAAGCAGGGGTGGGTCATTTAGGTTCTCTATGAATGGACATCTTTATGTTTGAGTTATGATATGATAATGGGAGCTGTCCTCCTTAAAGACCACGTGCAGCATCTGAGGACACATAATAAATAATCAAGAAACATCAATTGCTGTTATAAGCAATCTTGTAACAGAGCACAACCCAGGGGTGACTTTCCTAAATGCACTTGCTTTTTAGAGCATTAGAGATGAAGGCACGAGATTCAAAGATGGTAATCACATTGTGAGATCTGACAGGGTTAATGAAGGCAAAGTGAAAGCCAGAGCTAAGGAGTGTGAAACTGTTTGAGGGGTTCATCTATATATCAGAATTTGAAACAAATATGAATCATGGTATATGTTACAGTATAAAGTATAGCTTACAAGACAAAGTCCAGTCAAACCAGAGATCAAAATCCTTACCAAAATAGTGTGGTTTCAGCAGTTCAGCCTCAGCTTAGGTGAGTGCTACTCTTCTGGAGGGATAATGTTTCCTTTTCAAACATGATATAAAGTGATTTGTGACACTCCTATCAGTTATGGTAACAGTCATTCACATCAGAATTGTGACAACCCTGGGGTAGTAGTGTCATAGATTGAATAAGACTGTCAGTTTAAATAAGTACCATCTTTTTTTTTTTTTTTTTTTGATTGACTTCTGGGCTCTTTTAGCCAGAAACAGACAGTTGCCTAATGCTCTGGTTTTCTCCTTGCAGGTGGTATTGTCTTGAACCCATCTTTCTATGGCATTCCCGGACACACCCACACCATGATCCATGAGATTGGGCACAGCCTAGGTCTCTATCACATCTTCCGTGGCATCTCAGAAATCCAGTCATGCAGTGATCCCTGCATGGAGACAGAGCCATCATTTGAAACTGGAGACCTCTGCAATGACACCAACCCAGCCCCCAAACACAAGTTTTGTGGAGATCCTGGACCAGGGAATGACACTTGTGGCTTTCATGGCTTCTTTAACACTCCTTACAACAACTTCATGAGCTACACAGGTAGGGTCCTACGAATCCCTGATTGTAGCCCATCTGACACAGGATTAAATGTCAGACTTGGGCTCTAGTTCTGTTTCAGGGTAGCCTTGAACCAAGTGCTTGTTTTTCTAAGATGGAGACTTTTCTTTCTGAACAATAAGAATAGCATCTAATTCTTGAGAATTTCTGAAGTACAAGAGAGAGGTTATACATGAATATATGCCAGTTGATTGAGACCAAAGCCAGTAAATCCAGGTAGAACTACAGAAGTCTGATGTTCTGGATAATCTACTCTCTACCTCTGTTTCTTAAGAAAACCAAAATCTTTTAATTTGGTCTGAAAGGTTACTCATAGTTTTGTAGCTGCCTTGTTCTACACTAGTGATTTGTTGAAGCTTTTTATTTCACCAAGGTCTTCATTAGATAAATACAATTTTCATATGTTCATTTTCTATTGGAGGCTGGAGAAAATGAACTTTCTTTCTTGTAAACACAAAATTGTCATATAGTATTTGGCATGGTATTTTTCTTTAACTTCTTTTAACTTTTTACAACTCTTTCAATGCCCTCAGAAACCATATTAAGGACTCATGATTTAGGTCCCAATATGTCCTGTGCTTCCTGTTAGCACAGGCTACATCAAGGCCACTTAAAGCCATTTTTTGCAGCTTTGGCAAACTAGAACAAGCCACTGCTTCCTGGGGTGGTCACGGCTCTGATTATGGTTCCCTGTGATCAACTGTCCACAGTGCACACAGTAGACCATTACTGAATTCTATTATAATATTTAATTTAGTTCCCCATGAGAGCAAGCAAAAATATGTGAAACAAGCAATGGTCTTTTATTGTGTCACAAAAGGAAGCAAATCAATAAACTATCTTATTTCATTTTATATTTTAGCCCTGCTAATTTCTCTTATAAGAAGTACATATGATTGTTTCTTTCAATAGTAGTGTTTTCCTTTGTATAGCTATTTATTGTCTATAAAAGACTTCAGTGTGTTCCCTCGCCTTTAATTCTCACAACACATCCATGGACTGGGAACCATCCCATTTTGCAGATGACAATACTGAGGATTACTGGGGTCAATTGCTTCCTATGACACATTAAATACTAATTATGCTTTCCCCTGTCTGTCTTATGGTATTCTTTTAGAGAGACCTAACGGATGGTTAAGTAAGGAAGTTGAACAGTCTGGAAGCTCTTTACACTCTACCTCCTACAGTAGGGTAGAAGATCTTTTGCTTGGTATGGGAGTAAGGGTGAAGGTCCTAATTCAGGTTTGAATCAGGAAAGGCTGCTTCTGGCTGTTTTATGTTTCTCGTGGAGTTTTTGGTGCATATTGTGATTCAAAAGAGATTTTGCCATGAAAGCCAAAAGATTTGATGATCTCAATGGTCCTTACAGTTTCCTCTTGAGGTTGGTGGCTCCTGTGGACTTTCTAGTGTGTGGCTCTTACAACTTAAAAGTGATGTCACTTACAAAGTGAATAACCCATTTCTGGATCTATAAAGTGTCTTTAGATTTGGTTCTAAAAACAGCCAGGGCGCTCGGTATTTCCTCAAAAACAGATTCCAACTGGGCTCCCATTCCCAAACATACTGACACTCCACATCCGGTGCCCTCTTACATCCCATCTCTGTAGCACCTTTCCTTAGCCAGCTCAGCACACATGGGAAATAAACAATAATAAGAGTTTGGACGTTTGCCTGCTTCTTAGGGGATAGGAGCTTCCACCAGCTACCAGACCCCATAAACTAAATCTCCTTTTTGTTTCCCTTTGAGAAGATCTAAAGGGTGATTAATTTACTATTGTTGTTTTGAAAGGATCTCCACAGCTCAGTGACCCATTAACAGCAGAACTAATTCACTGAGCTGTGATAACAAACTTACACCCGCAAAGCATCGACAAAGCAACCCTGAGCTTGGAAATGTTTGTTTTCCTTAGGATCTCTGATAGATGAGGTGACAAAAGCCGCTGGACCAAATTCAAAATGCAGAACAGAACAGAACAGGCTTCTCAGAGCTAAGGAAAGGGACCCACAGGGCTCCTTTCTCCAGAACAGAGGGCAGTCATTGCCGAGTTGACTTCTTCCAGCTGCCTCTCTTTGCTGGGTGCTCATTCCTCAAGCAGATCTGCCCACCAAAACAGTCACAGTTTATGTGTGTGCTTTTCAATGTAATAGCCATCGGCTATATGTGGTTACTGAGCACTTTAAATATAAGTAGTGTAACTGAGGACCTGAATTATTAACCTTAAAGTGTTTTAATTAATTTAAATGAAAAAGAGGACATGTACTGGTGACTACTATATTGGTTTTTGAAGACCAACAATAATTGAGTACCTCTGATATACAAGAAATAATGTAAATAACACAAATAGATATTGTAATTTATATACATTATATATAAACATATGTAGTAATAATGCAATATGATAAATAAATGTGTAAATTAACCCAAAGAGATAAGTGAAATTATTAACATAATCAGTTTAGAGATGCAGGAAATGTAGTTCAAATAGCACAGAAAACTTTCTCAGATTCAAACACATAACTTAAGCCCAAGCCTTTCTTACTTCAGAGTCTGAGTCATTAACCAGTCTCTAAACTGTTCTGAGGAAGGCTGCCATGTGGGTCAGACTAGTAGGCAACAAGCAGCTGATGTGTCAAAGACACTTCAGTAGAAAGCACCAAATTCTATGCTTGTACTAGCATATTGGCTAAGCACTTGCCAGATAGATGGGTAGCAAACATGCCCCCATTTCCTGAAGATACCAGACTGTATTGAGGATATTTCAAAGATTTCTAGGCATAGAGTACAGGATCTTAGGATTTTTTTTCCAGCCTGTTTGTTATGGTAGCATCTTTCTATATGTTAGGAATGTTTAGTGTGCACACATGCTTTGGCCCAGCATGCAGACATGCTTTAACACCAACAGTCCTGTCTTTAAAGAATACACCTGAAGCAAATAAACCAATTGATGTGTTTAAAGATTTAGCAGCAAGAAAGTTCTTAGCAGTATTCATACTTTAAATATTTATTAAGCATTTACTATATGCCAGGCATAGAAAATAAATGTTTATCTATGCAAAAAATTAAAACTGGTTTACAAGCTTGAAGATAATGGAAACTGAAATGAACAGCAAGACATTACACATTACAAAACACCATGACACCACTGAGCAAGATGTAGAGTATGGCCAAAGGAAATGGCATTCAAAACATGAAATGTTGTGTGAGGAAGCTGAAATTGAAGGTCCTACATTGTAGTGTTTTGTTATAGGCATATTATTTCTTTTTTTATTTCATGGAGAATTGAATGATCATACAAGGAAAGAATCTAAAATTGTCCTTGATAGAATAAGTGGTGCTTGACAAATGATAAACAGTATTTATTAACTATTGGATATGGAGAACATCCTAGTCCTAGTCATATTTATAAGCCACATATGTGATGAGAATTACAGAAATTTACTATATTCACACCATATATGTATATACACACACACACAGGTATTAGACAAAGATTATATTATTTATAGGTACCAGATGTAGAGTGATATTTATTTGGGGCATATTTCAAAATTTTAAAGTGAGCATAGCTTTTATAATAATTTATTCCTGAGCCTATTGTAATAATTTTAAAAGCAAAACTCAAATGACAAGATTTTAGGAAAATTTACCCACATACAGAATATCAGCAAGCTCATTAAATGCTTACATCAGCTTTCTGAGGCAGGCTGTCACCATCCTTCAAATTGTAGTGAGTCGAAATGAGGCTGCCAGGGTCAGCCTTTTGTCCAAGGTCCTATAAGGTAGTTGAGTTATTAGGTGTCTGTCCTGATTCTCCATGCAAAGTACCCCTCGGAACATGGCTCAGTTTGCAAGCCTGGAGCGCTATAGCAATAGTCAAAGAAGCCCCTCCAAATGCAGAAGTTCTCAGTGTCCCTTCTACTTAGAGACAAAGTGGGAACAGAGGAACAAGATAAGCCTTGGAGGTCTAGGTGAAGGGACTACAGATGGCAGAAGTGGAGCTGTTGGGAGCTGGAAGCCAAATGAGCCTGACTTTCGACATGAGCTGAGACAGAGTATTTATGATAAAGGGAAACCTTTGGGATTTTGCCAAAGATTATGATAGTAACTAAGTCTCACTGTGATAGAACCTGAGACAGATGTTTTTCAACTTAATAAAGTTCAAATGGATCCCTATCCCCTAGTAACTTCTAACACCTATCCATTTTCAAACTTTTTCCTATTGACAAATGGAAATGGTTATTATTTAAATTATAAAAAGAAAACAAACTTCTTTGAGGAAAAATTAATCAGAAGTTTCTAAAGAAAAAATAGTTCATCTTCATGCTTTCTGTGCCCCACTTGAACCCTTAATGACCTTCGGTTGAGTTGATTTAAATAACCCTCATTTATATATCAGGAAACTGAGAGATGTTAGTGTTCAGTTAATATTTTGTTTTAGGAATGTCCTTAAAATGTATAGTCCATGTTAATTTTTTTACTACGGTGACAATGCTTCAGGAATCTGTCCTCTCCCCCAAGGCAATGATTTTCCTCATCTCTGCCCATTCATGGTGCTAGTGTTAGCTATGTAGGCTAGGATTAGATCATAAAGAATTCATGATTTACACTCTGACTTTGATTTTTCCTTCTTCAAGTTTCACACACACACTCATTCACACACACACACATGCATACATTCACACACAAACTCACACACACACAAACAACACACACTCTCACCCCCAAACACATACACACACATACACAAACATATGTATGTGTTATTTACTTACTTCTCCCAAATATGAGCCAGTGAGCATTTGCCATGCAGTAGATTTCTTGTGTCTCACACTCCAGCTCAACCATAGTATGAGATGAACACTTTTTATCCCCATTGTTTCCACTTTTTAGATGGGAAAGGGAGGTGCCAAGGGCATAAAGATGCTCCACTGACTATACCTTGTACATCTTCTTTCTTGAGCCATCACACCCTCCACCTGCATCCAATCTACTTAGTGGCTTTTCCCAAACTTTTCTGCACAAAGTGTACAGATCACAGTGTTGATGAACAATGAACTTTTGTTCAGGCCGTTCTCAGGCTTAGGTGTACATCTGCCTAGCAATAGGTAGCCACAGGATTTAAGGAGTTACATGGTAGATCTGGGCTTGAGAGCGATTTCTGTCACTCCTGTGCAATGCTTGCTAAGGAATACTGGGCTCTTCTGACTTCACCAAATGTCTTAAAGCTTTCCCTTGTGGTGCTGTAAAGAAGACTGTGAAAATTCCTAACAGAATCCAAGCCAGACTCTCCATATAAACTCTCACACCCTTGTCTGTTCCCTTCAAGGTCATGTCCTACAGCCTATCACCTGTCCAAACTTATTTTCTGATAAGGGGAATTAAGTTTATGCTGCTGGATTCCAGTAGCACTTTTATTTTTAAGACCTGGTGAGGTCCACAGTCCTCTGTCTGGGGACTAGCTGTGCTAATCTTGACCAAGCAAGTACCCCTGAGAGGGAAGTGGTACATTAGGAAACCAAGCCAAACAGTGCTTTTTTTTCTTGTTCCCAGGGGAGCTGAATCAGAATGTTGGAAAAAGAAATAGGAGGCAAACCTCTTCCTTAGGAGCTGACTTGGGTCTCTGCCTTCAGTCCACACTCTGGAAAAGGAAGAGTAGAATTGAAGGTCATTCCATGTAGATTCCTAAAAGATTGTTGCCAATCTCCTTAGACTAGAGCTGGGCTCAACACCCATGTACAATCCACCGGGAGACTTTACCTATAATACATTTCATTTGTGTTTGATGGGGAAAAGTTATGGCATTACTTAAAAGCACAGCTTTGTCTCAAACCCCAGATATGCTTAGCTCTGAGACATAGGAAAAGTGGCTTGCCTGAACAGAGCCTGAGTTCCTAACTCTGTAAAGAGAGAGAAAATGATAATATCCACTACAAAAATAGCATGTGTTGGGAGATAAAGGGTAACTGTCCAAAGCGTGTCATACCATGTCTGACTCATACTTAACCACATGCTAAGCATATGTCTCAGAGACATACATGTACTGTAAGAAAATGTGTTTGTTCTTGTTCCCGTCTGTACTGGTTAGTTTACCATCCACTTGACCCTAGTCAGGGTCATTTGAGAAGAAGAAACCACAATTGAAAAAATACTTTTCATTATATTGGCCTATAAGGTAAGTCTATGGTAGCATTTTTATTAATAATTGATGTAGAAGGACCCAGCACACTGTAGGTAGTGCCACCAATAAGCAGCTAGTCCAGTGTTGTATAAGAAAGCAGACTGAGCAAACCATTAGGAGCAAGGCAATAAGCAGCATTCCTCCATGGCCTCTGCTTCAATTCCTGCCTTCAGGTTCTAGCCTTAAGTTCCTGCCCTAACTTTCCCTAAGATGGACTGTGACATGGAAGTATAAATGAAGTAAACCCTTTCCTCCCCAAGTTGCTTTTGGTCATGATCTTTATCACAGCAATAGAAATTCAACTAAGGTAGCATTCTGTATACAGCCTAGGGTATATATTTGTTTCCTAACTATGGCATGATCTGGGCTTTACATGCCTCTAGCTGTGTAGTTACCTCTTTTGTAGAGCCACTCTCTGTCTTGGCCTCAACCAAGTGATCTAATTGACCGCAAATATACATCCATCTTTGGTGCCTTTTTAGTTGATCCTCTTCCCCCACATGCCATCTCTGTCAATTCAGTGATAATATACATCACATTAGTGAGTACACAACAATTCTTGTTCGTGTGATGTGTTCATAACCCCTTAAGGGCAGGAACATTTTAAGTCCCATCTTTCCATAGCTCTGGTTTATAGCACTGAACACAAATTAGGCATTTAATAGATTTGTTTCAAGGACAGTATCCTTGCATTAGGGAAAAGTAGAATTCATTAATGCATGAATAAGTGAATGAATGTGAAGGAATACAACGGGAAACTAGTGAGCACATGAATGAATAAGCAAGTAGGTAAAAAAAGTGAATGAATGAAGAAATGAATGAAAGAAAGTGAACGGGGACGGCAGGCATTGCTGACTTGGGACCAGAGAATAAAGAGGTCACTGGAAAGCAGCTTGTTTTGCCTTTGTCCTTAGCCACAACCTCTTAGTAGCCCCCTCCTAAGACCCAAGCTTACTTTCCGAGATCTACCCACTCTCTCTTACCTCCTGTTTCCTCTCACCTGTCTCCAGGAGTGATGACTGCACTAATTTGTTCACAGACCATTAACTTCTAAGCACCAGAAGAGGCTGCCCTGAGCTGGCAAGGACAGCCTTGGGTGCTGGCTCTCTAGCTGGACTGAGACGTCATCCTTCTCTCGCATGCCTGCCTGTGCAGCTCCGGGCTTATCTCTCTTCTCTTTTTACTTTTTTTCTCTCTTTCTAACACTTACAGATGACGACTGTACAGACTCCTTCACGCCCAATCAAGTCTCCAGAATGCACTGTTACCTGGACCTCGTATACCAGAGCTGGCAGCCCTCCAGAAAGCCAGCACCTGTAGCTCTTGCGCCCCAGGTTGTGGGCCACACAGTGGACTCTTTGATGCTAGAGTGGTTCCCGCCCATCGACGGCCACTTCTTTGAAAGGTGAGTGTGCCTTGGGGAGTGTTGGTCTCTCTCTCTGTCTCATCTCTCTCTGTCTGTCTCTGTCTCTGTTTCCCTCCCTCCCTCCCTCTCTCTCTCTCTCTCTTTCTCTCTCTCATCCCCTTCCTTCTCCACCTCCTGCCAGGAAGGCAAAGACTCAGAAGGAAGGCAGCCTTGGAAGAGAATTTTCTCTGCTTCTTATTCTTGTTGAATAGAGACCCCAGTGACTGGTACCCAAGGTCCCACTGATAAGTTTGGAATAGGTAATATAAAAATGTTGTTAACAGAAATGATCCTGTAATGAAGCATACTATTTTTCATGAATGTGAAGTTAAATTAACTTTATTATTAGAAGCTTGGAAACCAGGGTGGGTGAGAGATGAACATCTAATCTGGTGGTACTTATTTTATAATCCCAGCATTTGGGTGGGAGAAGTAGGCAGATCCCTGTAAGTTCAAGGCTACCCTAGTTTACACAGTGAGTTCTAGGTCATCCCTGCTACATAATGAGAGAATCTTTAACCACAACCCTATTTGCCCAAGTCCAAAAAGTTTGGAATTTTCTATTGCAAGAAATATCTTCTGGTATTGTCTTCGTTAACACAGGACTTGAAATTTCCTCTGATTAATAAGAAAACCCTTTAATATTACATATATATATTTCACATTATATAAAATAAAAGCATGAATACTACTCAGTTTGCAAAAATGTATGATTATATGTCACTATAAGGTTTATATTTACTATATTTTGAGAATACTAGAGACTAATCAGGTATAAGATGCCACAGATTTTCTCCTTGGTCTGTTACTTGTCATCCAAATGCCACCCAACACATCACTGTCCCCAGATTGTTTTTAATTAGCTTTTCCTAAAAATGAGTCTGAGTATGTCTTCTGATGGTTAGAAAGGGGAGGCCTAAATTGAGTCCCTTCTCATGAATCTTTCCACTATAAACTTCCACAGAGTTCAAGCCTTGAGGGAACCAGATAAAAATGCTTCAGAGCTAGGCATGCATTTCAATGGCAGGCCTCTTGCTCAGCATACATGAGGCCAAGAATCCAACCTTACCACTACAAAAATAAAAATGAATATTCATGAATATAGTTTACATCTATATCAGAATGTTTCTGTTATTCAGGTAATCTCTCACTCCAAACCTTAGCTCTTCTTGGGAGGTTTCTCCAGCAATTGAGGATATAGCCTTGTGGATGGTGACAACCATAACCATGTTAATCATTATTTGTCTTTGTCTCTGAACTTGCAGCTGTCTGTCAAATGCTGACCTTGTGATAGATTCTGATCTGAATGCTTCCTGTGCAGAGTATTATTTAATAGTCCCAGTAACCCAGTATAAGTATAAAATTTTTCCTCATGTGTCAGATAAGGAGAGCAGTGGACCTGAAAGAGTCTGAGAAATTGGCCCAAGAGCTCTTAGAAGGGGCTAGAGGCTGGGCCTCAACATTTAAGAATGCCTTGTCTATGAATCCTATGTGCCTTCATTGAGTTGTTCCAGACTAGAGTATGAAGAAGGTATTCACTTCCCTCACAAAAGGTGGCAAAAGGCTCTCCTTTAGTAATTGTGTGTATGTGTATTTGTGTATAAGAAAAAATAAGCACAAGACCTCATTCTCAGGGGTAAACAGCTAACAGGTACTTGCTTAGGTGCTTACTCTTACTAATTAGCAAAGAAATTGCAATTGATGACTGGAATTATTGATAACTTCACAGTCTTAAAATGACTTTTTCCAAGAAGACACACTAAAAAATGGCCAAGGTTTATGATGAAGGAGAATCTTTTACACCATTTGTGGAAAGGTAAATTATTTAAGTCATGGAAAATTATGTGCATGCACCTCAGACAACTAAACTAGGACTGTATGATTCAGCTCTTCCATTGCCGCATACATATCCAAAAGAGGCTAGAGAGGTAGTACACTGGTTAAATATTTGCATTTAATCACACGGACCCAATCAGATCCTCAAACCAAGTAAATCCTGGGAGAACTTGGCCTACGAGAATGAAGACAGGGGATCCCAGAGCAAACTGACTAGCAAGACTAGCCAAATCAGTAAATCTTTGGTTTCACTGAGAAACCCAGCTTGATGAATAAGATGGAAGAGCAATAGAGGATGACTCCTGACATCAGTCTCAGGCCTCCAGGACAGGTGTACACACATGCAGAGCACACATTTACACTCAATGTGCAAAATAAATCAACGCAAACACAGGCTCAAGGCATGCAACAAAATGTAAAAGGAAACGAAGGAATCAGAAGTAGCTAGTTGAATGGGCACCCTGTTTCACATGCTCTGTATAGCATCAGTCACATATCTAAGATACAGAAACAACTTGAATATCCTAAAACTGGTGAAGATGTTAAAAAAAAAAGCCTATGTGTTCTGTGGGATATTAGTCAGCCTTTAAAAGGCAGCAGAAACCTGTCATTTAACCCACATTTATGTCATTATTTTACTTGAATATGCTTATGTCAGAAAGACAAACACTACCTGATATCCCTTATATGGAAAATATCATAAAGTTGAATCCTTGAGTGCAGAGAGAATGGTGTTCAGCGGAGGAGGGTGGATCTAGGTGGATGTGAGAAGTAAAGATGTTGGTCAAAGGGCACAATTCCAATTAGATTGAAGAAATAAAGTTCAGTGCTCTGTTGCTCACAGCTGACATTATAATGAACTATACTGCTTTGTATATTTTTAAATGGCTAAAACAGTAGATTGTAAATGTTTTCATTATACAGACACAGAAAATGATAGTTAGGTATGGACGGTGATAGGTTTCTTCATCACCCTCCTTCAATTGTTATAAATTTGTGTGTAAATGCTATTTTATACTTCAAAAGTATTCAAAATTAAGATCTGTATGGTAAATGTAAGTTTCAAAAATTAAAAACACATTATAGAGTGATACCATATCAAACTGGGTCTCTAAATGTCTATAGACTATCAGTCCCTGAATCTAGAACCTTCCGTTTGCATCCAGGGGAGAGTTTGCTCTAGTAGGAAGGAAGTGAACTCCCCAGGCTCTCTGTAGGAACTCCCCCTTCCTGGCCCCAGCTGCCCTTGCAGAGTTTGGAGCTGGGTTTGGGAATGCTCATGACACTTTGGAGCAAGCTTTGCAGCAGCCTGTAGATTTATTTATTTTCTCTTTAGTGATGAGAGGTTTCAGACTTTTGGTCAAGCTTTGGCCTTGATTCTACTTAAAAAGTGGAAGTTTTGTAAATGAAGCTTCCTGTGTATGTATTCAATTTATATTTCATAAAGCAGTTATTGTCCATTAAATAAAATCCATCTGATTGTTGGAAACCTATTAGAGGGTTAATTGTTATGTAATGAGATATGTCTTTATTACATAGTACTCTCAGCTTTAATCAATATGTTTTTAATAATCTATAGTCAGTTAGTACTTGAGGCGTATACAATAGCTATTCTGTTCAGGGTAATATTAACTAATGGAGTTATCACATGCTAAATTCAAACTGACATTTTTGAAACATGTAATTAAGGTTAGCAGCTATGCAGACCACAATCTAAAGGAAGTTTGACCATAAGTTTTAATAAATTGCTGTAAAGGAATGGTACTATATCCTTTGTGCATCTTGCTCCCATAAGCAGGGAGTTTATAGCACTGTAAATTGGTTTAGTATGAGGCATATAAGCTTTGATGTCTGGTCACACGCACACTCTGCCACCACCTCCCTTAGCTTCATTGCTCCCAGTAGATGAGAGTTTAGGCAACACATCTGACTTTTCTGATTCTATGAGTCCTCCTTCATAAAGAAGTGCTAATTTGCCTACATTGTCTGTGTTATACAAATGACATCTACGATATTCGAAGCACACATATTCTACACTCAAGGAATGTTAGCTTCTACCTTGTGTGAGGTTTTCCAGAACTATTTGGTTACTTGAAAATCTCTTTCCCTTGCAAAACCTTGGGTGTTTTCCACACCATCCATCAATGCCAACATCTCGCCTCTGGCCATGTTCATGTCCTCCTGCTGTTCTCACATCTGTGATCTAGGAGAATACAAGGGTTTCCCTTAAGAAAACATATTCTGATTCCCCCACAGCCTGTGTCCTCACACAGGGGCAACTGAATAAATAATTCAAGGCCACCCCTGGTCTTGCAAATGTGTTGACTGGCTGGTTTTAGTATCCAAACAATTGGCTATCATATACTCGAAAGCATAGTCGACTAGGAACTATGGGACCATGGTCTAAAGTCCTTGCAAATGCATCATTCTCTCTGCCCCTTTATCTTCAGTTTTCTGATCTCTAAGTCAAAAAGGCTTGGCTTTTCTCAGGCAGAATTTCCCCTCCTAACACATATAATAATGAAGAACTTTTTTTCTACAAAAGTGAGACATACTAGTACCAGTCTAGTTGCAAAGGAGAGAAGCTAACTCCTTTTTATCTAGGATGGCTTCTTGAAGCACAGTTCAGAAGGACTTTATTCATACACTCTCCAACACAGTAATATTCATCAAAATAATGACCATGAAGTACTTGAGATTATGACTGATGTAACCAAGGTTCAGAAGTTTAAAATATATTTTACATTAATTATTTAAATGTAAATAGCCACTTGTGGCTGCTAGGCTTCTCATTCAATAGCATGTATCTCAAGTTTTGAGCTTTGATTAAGGTAAATTGTGTAAGAAAGATGAACTCCCCCAACATTAGCATTCTCCAGGTATATGATTGTGCGTGTGTGTGTGTGTGTGTGTGTGTGTGTGTGTGTGTGTGTATGTGTGCAGGTGTCCATGAAAATCAAATAAATGCCAGAGTGAGTCATGGACACAAGCATCCCCTGAATATACAGGATACGAGCATTCCCTGGATGTATAGGATGCCAGCATTCCCTGGATGTACAGAATACCACCCATCACATTTTTCTGCCAGCTGCATGGTGATTCACTTGTCACAGTACTCCATGAAAACCAGACCCTTGTTATGAGATCAGTGAAGTTCAAGGTATGGCTAAGGGAAATGGAGAAAGTCAGTAAAAGTGTAGGTCAGCCCAGTTCTTGAATCCATCTCAGGGCATTCATGATGTCACTGTGTTATTATCAGTCCTGTGACTCAGAGCGACTGTTCATGGAAGCTGACATTGTAAGGGACCTCTGTCCTCATTAAATGCTGAAAAATTCACCCAAATCTCTCTCTCCCTTCTGCTCTACATTCCTCATTCAGTTTACTGTAAGTATATTGATATAAATAAGACCTCTTCCAAAATCAATTCACAAATTACTGACAATTTTTTTGGTACTGAAGTCTACCTGAAGATAACAGTGTAGGTTAAACTTAAATAAGACTATTCTATGTAGTTTTATAGTAAATGTGTTTTCTATACAATCTCATAATTATAGATACTATGGACTAACTGCCCAGTATTCTGTTTAGATTAACCATGGAATGCTTAATGTCTTATTCTTCCACCAAGTATTAATGTGCTTACATGATGTGTGTTTTCACATTTTCATCCACTGGATTGAGAGGGCACACTCTCTGCCTTTGAAAGTTTAGCTTAATTTAGCCATGACTATTATATATGTGTCTTTATGATGAATATTTGTTCATCAACTCATTTACTCAACCATCCATTCAACTGCACATACTAGAAAACATTTGAGTTTGTGCTGAACCCTAAGACAGAAAAAAAAAAAGGGCTAGGTTATGGATCTTGTTCTCAGGTGCTTTATAATATATGAAAGGAAGACCTTTATATATAAACATATTAATACACAAAATATAATTAAGGTGAACCTAGGAGGATGAGAGATATCTGCCAGGCAAATGCAGCGAATGTGGGGTAATGTGACCCAATGCGCTAGAGAGAGACAAGGCTAGCATAATGAGGAGAGTTAAGGTCATTCGAGGTTCGAAACACTCAAAAAGTTTAAGCAGGAACATGGCCTATTGAAAATGGGGTCTTTAATGATTCTCTGACTCCTGCCTGGGAATGCGAGCACACTATAATGCTTACATATATACTTCCGTAGACTATAACCCTAAAATCACAGTTTCCTCGTTAGGGAAAATCTTACAACATGAAATCTGGATGTGTCATTCTGTCCTCTCACGTCCCCAAATCATACAGATTCCTCTAGGAATGACTGAAGAGGAATCACTAAGGCTGTTGTATTTTGAGAAATACTTGGTTAGTTGGGACCTTATTTAACATCATCTAGAAATTCCATTGCCAAGAGCCTCAGCAGATGCCACTCAATTCTGCAGATGTTTTGGTCCATGAGAATACAGAAGATTCATTCCTGTGTGTTCTCCACAACTACCTCCTACAGAAGCCAGATTTGGAGAACCAGTAGGAACCCAGACAGAGTTGTAGCCAGAGAGAGATTGAATCCAGATATAGCAGACAGTTGGGGAAGCCACCATAATATTCCATTTTTGGGATTAGTCCCATTGAAAGATTGGCTCACCCCCTGGAAAGCTGTTAAAATGAGTTAGATGACATAGTAAAGAAACTGCTTTTGACTATTAAATTGCGAGTGAGTCACTCATCCTCAGAATGTCAGGGCTGAAAGATTCCTTAGGCATCATCTCATCCAGCCCACTCATTTTCTGGTGATGGAACCACACCTTTTTCATGTTTATTCCCTGTGATGCAGACTGAGGCCTTGAACATAGTGGGTACCTGAGAAATATTTTTAAAGGAGTCAGTCCTGAGAACAAAGCAAGGCAAAGTATGCTTTTATCACCACACAAAAGATTACCAGTGAAGCTTTTTATGCCAGGTACAATTAAAATTATTGCAGGTAATGGAGTTTTTGGCCAGTTAGTTCTGTGCTATTTGACATCAGAGGAGTGTATGCAGCATCAGGAGAGCAGCCAATAAAAAGCAAAACAAAAACAAACAAAAATTTGTTAGCAATAGGAAAGATTTCATTTACAGTTATTTTCATAGTCATGGCAAATGCATTGAGAAAAGGCAATAAAGACAGACTGTGTCCTCTGTCCTATTGCTATTTCCCCATTCCCATCATTTGCTCACTCAATTGTCCTAAGTCGGTGTATTTCTACTCTTTCCTTGGCCTCCTAGAGAATTGGGATCAGCATGTGACCTTTGTCTAGAAGGGAGAATCCTGGTGCAATATGCTTTCAATGCCTCCTCCCCCATGCCCTGTGGACCATCAGGACACTGGAGTCCCCGGGAAGCAGAAGGTAAGTCAGATGCTTATTGACACATGTAGCACACAGAAAACAACTTTAACGTATATGGACTGTTACTCTTTTTAACACTACTTATGCACTCATTAATTTAACAAGTATGTTTTAGTATATGTACTATTTTACATATGCTATTCTCCTGTTACATATGATGAAATGATTCACCAAAATATTAAACAAAGGTCAAAGGTACATGAAATATGGAAGTGTTCATATAACTTAGAGACTCCAAACCCTGTGGGTACAGCCAGGTCACATTGGACTTCACATATGTATTAAGGGACTACAAAGGATCAATCATATTTGATTCTTCTTCCGTTATGACAAAGGCCACAGTGGTCATTCTGTATGTGTCACAACTCTTTAATTTTCTAATGTACGCTTTTTGTTGCTGGCCACTATTCTAATGTTCACTCGTTATCAGATCCTGCCCCATATAGACTGTATTCTCAGGAGTCCCAAGAGGCCAATGACTAAATTTTACTCATAGCATCATCATTTCATATAGAAAACAACACCTGTGTCCTACAGAATCAGAGGCAACAACTTCTGTTGAATCCTGACTATTACACTTTGTCATTTAGCCCTGAAGCCAGACTGGCAGAGAACTATGACTAGCTTTACATATAACGCTTCCCTTTCTTTCCCTGGCTTGGGGCATTTGCACACTGATCCTTTCCCAACATAGTCCTACAAAGGTCCAGGACAGGTCAGATAGGATTATCCATAGTCATTGGGTAAGACAACATGACATCATGTTATCAGAGCAAGTAGAACCCACCCCCTTGCAGAGCTTCAGTAAGAACTCTTTCTCTGCCCTCTATATTTTTAGAAAGAAGGTTGAAAAGGAAAAGCCAAAGATAGACTAAAGCAAAGGAAAAGGATCAGAAAGGAAAGTGAAGTTGAAAAAATGATGGGCTTGTGCTTTATTTTCTAAAGTAGCTTAAAATAAAAATGAGATTTGGGTGTGTGAAGTCTAAATAATCTATCTCCAATACAAAGTAAGAGGAGTGTCTGGGAGAAGCCCTTCATTCAATCTCATAAACTCACAGACTGTCAGACTTGGAAGGGATATCTGAGGTCATCGTGCTCCAGTCTTCCATGAAGGAAACTCTTCAATGATCTTCTTCACTGTGGCATGACCCACTCCTTTAGAAAGCTGTTTTTGAATCTACAGGCACAGTTTTCCTACCCAATAGAGCCCACTCAGTAGAAACTATGCTTCTCTGAGAGCTGAGAACACTCTGCACACTGGCGTAGAGTATAAATGTCTTCCTCTTATATGCAATGGGTAGTATGTGTGGGCACAGTCTTAGGTGCATATGCAAGAGTATGCTGGGAATACTCTCGAGAAATGAGATAAGGACATGGGCAGTGACCATGCTGATCAAAGTGGAGGACTAAAGACCTAGTAGAAAGGAGGTTTCATCCAGGACTACAGAATTAGGCTTCCCACTAAATGTCACCAAACACTTTCAAACGCTGCAATAATTTTAATATTTAAAGAGAGGACATTTCCAAGGTTGTGGTCCAGTATGTCCTCAAAGTCAAAATTATTATTAATGTTATTATGTCATCATTTACTGTTTCTTTTCCATTTTCTCCTGAAAACACAGTGGGGCTTTCCAGGGCTACAGAGCATGAAATGTTGTTAGCTTTCTGACAGATAGTGCAATGCTCACTATACATTGTATATTGTAGCTTTACAGTGCTCCCCTCATAGACACACTACTGTATATCTATGAGGAAATATAGTCCACCCAAACAAAAAGCTTCTAATAAGGCTCTGTGTATTTATCTGGATTTATATGCATGGGCAGCATGGTGAGGGAGACAGGCACTGAACAATTGAGGTAGATAGTGCCCACATAAGGCTGGAGTGGATTACTACTGGAAACAAGGAGAAGATGCCATGTGCTTACATCAGAGAAGATCATCCCGTCATAAATTGTAGGTTGAAACTTCATATGTGGTGTCATAAAGTTTTACAAAGGAAAGAGATTTTGGAACTCGCAACCTGCAAAACTTAACTCAAAAACATGTATGTAATGAATCTGAATCACTTCAGGCAACACAGTGTTACAGTGGGCAACCCCACTGAACACAGTTATACTTTACATAGTGCATGTTCTTGCACCATTAATGCTAATGGACGTTTCTTTAAAACACCTCAGATTCAAGACTGTTGGATGTTATGAAGTGCAATATTTTTATTCCTCACTCAAAGGAGTTTTGTTTATATATAAAACTAGTGATATAATTACAGAAAGCAGACTTTAATACTTTCATATTATCAAGTATTGACATGCATCAAGTTGATAACAAGGATTATTTCTTGTTATGATATTTATTTTTATGATGTTGGCATTGCTGATTTAAATTTCATTTTCAAAAACTTAACTGTGCCTTGGCTCCAACTTAAAACAGAATTTCCAGCATTTTTTTTTTTTTTTTTTTTTTATTGGATGATTTATTTACATTTCCTATGTTGTCCCCTTACCCCATCCCCCACCACCCCCTCGGAACCTCCAATCCCCTCGCCCCTCCTCCTTCTTCTCTGTGGATGTAACCTCTATCTACACCCCCCCCACTCCCACCTCCCCACCCTCAAAATTCCCACCCCCTGGGGCATCCAGCCTTCATGAGGTCAAGGTTCTCTTCTTCCACCTATGCCCAGCAGGGCCCTCCACTTTTACATATTCAGCTGAAGCCCTGGATTCCCCCCTAAGTGCTCCTAGGCTGGTGGTTTAGACCCTGGGAGCTGTGGTTGGTTGGTATTGTTGCTCTCCTCATGGTGCCACAAACCCTTTCAGCTCCTTCAGTCTTCACTCTAACTCCTCCATTGAGAACCCCATGATCAGTTCAATGGCTAGTTGTGAGCATCTGCCTCTGAATATGTCTGACTCTTGAAGGCCTCTGAGGAGATATCCATATCAGGCTCTTATCAGCATGCACTTCCTGTCTTCCACATCAGCATCTACCTTTGGTGATTGCACATGGGATAGATACTCAGGTGGGGTGGTCTTGAGACGGCCCCTCCTTCAGTTTCTGTCCCTCACTTTGTCTCCATATTTGCTCCCTTGAGTATTTTGTTGCTCCTTCTAAGAAGGACCGAATCACCCTCACTTGGTCTTCCTTCTTTATGGGCTTCATGTGGCCTGTGAGTTGCATCTTGGGCATTTCAAGGTTCTAGGCTAATATCCAATAATCAGTGAGTGAATACCATGTGTCTTCTTTTGTGATTGGCTTACCTCACTCAGGATGATAATTTCTAGTTCCATCCATTTACCTAGGAACCTCTCGAATTCATTGTTTTTAATAGCTGAGTAATACTCCATTGTGTAAATATACCACATTTTTTGAATCCATTCCTCAGTTGAAGGACATCTGGGTTCTTTCCAGCTCCTGGCTATTATAAATAAGGCTGCTATGAACATAGTTGAGCATATGTCCTTATTATATGTTCGAGCACCTTCTGGGTATATGCCTAGGAGTGGTATAGCTGGATCCTCGGGTAATGCTATGTCCAATTTTCTGAGGAACCGCCAGACTGATTTCCAAAGTGGTTGCACCATCTTGCAGTCCCACCAACAATGGAGGAGTGTTCCTCTTTCTCCACACCCTCGCCAGCATCTACTATCACCTGAGTTTTTAATCTTAGCCATTCTGACTGGTGTGAGATGGAATCTCAGGGTTGTTTTGATTTGCATTTCCCTGACGACTAAGGATGCTGAACATTTCTTTAGATGCTTCTCGGCCATTCGAGTTTCTTCCGTTGAAAATTCTTTGTTAAGCTCTATACCCCATTTTTTAATAGGGTAATTTGGTTGTCTGGAGTCTAATTTCTTGAGTTCTTTGTATATATTGGATATTAGCCCTCTATCAGATGAAGGATTGGTAAAGATCTTTTCCCAATTTGTTGGTTGTCGTTTTGTCCTATTGACAGTGTCCTTTGCCTTACAGAAACTTTGCAATTTTATGAAGTCCCATTTGTCAATTCTCGATCTTAGAGCATATGCCATTGGAGTTCTGTTCAGGAACTTTTCCCCTGTGCCCAAGTATTCGAGGCTTTTCCCCACCTTCTCTTCTATTAGTTTCAGTGTATCTGGTTTTATGTGGAGGTCCTTTATCCACATAGACTTGAGCTTTGTACAAGGAGATAAGAATGGATCAATTTTCATTCTTCTACATGTTGTCTTCCAGTTGAACCAGCACCATTTGTTGAAAATGCTGTCCTTTTTCCACTGGACAGTTTTAGCTCCTTTGTCAAAGATCAAGTGACCATAGGAGTGTGGGTTCATTTCTGGGTCTTCAATTCTATTCCATTGATCTTCCTGCCTGTCTCTGTACCAATACCAGGTAGTTTTTATCACTATTGCTCTGTAGTACAGCTTGAGGTCAGGGATGGTAATTCCTCCAGAAGTTCTTTTATTGTTGAGAATAGTTTTCGCTATCCTGGGTTTTTTGTTATTCCATATGAATTTGAGAATTTCCTTTTCTAACTCTGTGAAGAATTGAGTTGGGATTTTAATGGGGATTGCATTGAATCTGTAGATTGCTTTTGGCAAGATGGCCATTTTTATTATATTAATCCTGCCAATCCATGAGCATGGGAGATCTTTCCATCTTCTGAGATCTTCTTCAATTTCTTTCTTCAGAGACTTGAAGTTCTTGTCATACAGGTCTTTCACTTGCTTGGTTAGATTCACACCAAGGTATTTTATATTATTTGCAACTATTGTGAAGGGTGTCATTTCCCTAATTTCTTTTTCAGTCTGTTTATCTTTCATGTAGAGGAAGGCTACTGATTTGTTTGAGTTGATTTTATAACTAGCCACTTTGCTGAAGTTGTTTATCAGGTTTAGGAGTTCTCTGGTGGAAGTTTGGGGGTCACTTAAGTATACTATCATATCATCTGCAAATAGCGATATTTTGACTTCTTCCTTTCCTATTTGTATCCCTTTGACTTCTTTTTGCTGTCTAATTGCTCTGGC